TATTTTACGATTTTCGGATCAAACCCGATCCGAATCCGACCCGACCCGAAATTATCGGTTCGGGTTGACCTCAAACCGACCCGACCCGAACAGAGCTTTAGATGACAGATAAAGTAATTACCACAGATTGGACAATTGGCTAGATAATTAAAATAACAATGTTAAAATAATATAGAAATAAAAACGATTGATGGCAGATAAATTAATTTACCGTAGATTTGAGTTCTACAACTGAATGCTTTACCGTATGAGCTGGCTAGATAATTAAATGACAATATTAAAATAAATATAGAAATAAAAACATTGATGACAGATAAAGTAATTTACCGTAGATTTGAATTCTACAACTGAATGCTTTACCGTATGAGTTGGCTAGATAATTAAATGGCAATATTAAAATAAATATAGAAATAAAATCGATTGATGACAGTAGTGCTCCAACCGGGTCGGGTCCAATCCGTGACCCGACCCGGAATGCACATTTCGGGTCGGGTCGGATTGGGGTCAAACCCGACCCGAAAAAATATTTCGGATCAGCCTAAAAAACGTTATTTCTCGTTCAATATTAATTGGAATTAAACAAAAATTTTTGGGTATATACAATTACATTCCGAACAACTCTACTTAGACACAAAATACAAGTGTCTTAGTAAAATAAAAGTTATTGACGAAAAACTATTTTACGAATCCGACCCGACCCGAACAGAGCAGATAAAGTAATTACAATTGACTAGATAATTAAATAACAATATTAAAATAATGAATATAGAAATAAAAATAATTTACCACAGCTTCTTCAATTGTCCTTGTTTGCGTTTTTTCGTGGGACTTGTAATTGAAATGATTATATTAATTAAGAATGAAAAATAATTTATGAACTTGAAAAATTCAATGACTTATTTACCCGCTTTTCTTCTTCAGAGTTCGGTGTTACGTCAAGCTCTTGCTTTGATACTTCTATTTGTGTAACCTTGTGGACTTGCAAGCTATCTTTAATTTCGGATGACTTTATCGGTATATAGTAAAAGTAACGAATAAATATTTATTCTATCATATCCGCTAAAAAAAAACAAAATTTCAATACTCATTACGCTGGTGGATTCAATTTCATCGGCCATTTTAAAAATAGTTTATAGTAGAAATTGAACTGAAAACAGTTAAAAATCCTAACGTTAAAATGAGAGCTTTTATAGATAAAAATCTTAAATCTCGTAAACGCGCTTTTATTGAGGAACCCGTTAGATACATACATATCAGTAATGGCGTTGATGCGTACACTTTGTTTACAAAAACCTAACATACCAGTTTGACATCGTACCGCATATGATATTTTATTCAATTTTTAATTTAGCGTTAGCGTTAGTGATCTTTTAGCTAATTCTGCCCATAAGTGTTATTGAATTAAACGGCGTTACTGTACTTCAATACACAGATTTCTTACAAATGTATGTACATTAATGATACATGTACTTGACGATGACGAATAAATATTTATTCTACATGTACTATCATATCTGCTAAAAAAAACCCCAAAATTTCAATACTCATTACGCTGGTGGATTCAATTTCATCAACCATTTTAAATAATTTATAGTAAAAATACTAAAGAAATTGAACTGAAAACAGTTAAAAATCCTAACGTTAAAATGAGAGCTTTTACAGATAAAATCTTAAATCTCGTAAACGCGCTTTTATTGAGGAACCCGTTAGATACACACATATCAATAAATGGCGTCGATGCGTATAAACACAACATACTACATGTATTTGATATCGTACTGCATATGATATTTTATTCAATTTTTAATTTAGCGTTAGCGTTAGTGATCTATTAACTAATTCTGCCCATTAGTGTTATTGAATTAAACGGCGGCGTTACTGTACTTCATTACACAGATTTCTTACAAATGTAATGAAACTTGACGATGACGAACCTCTAATCACGACCATTTTGAAAACGTCTGTGACGAATGACGAAAACCTTCTGACCAATAAAATACTAGCGCTAGTTGATGCCTGAAGATTACATGTATTGATTTTCACGAACCTTTAGCCATGGCCACTTTGGAAATGTAAGTGGCGAATGACAAATCGTCTGACGATTGACAATTTTGGCAAAATAAACCATAAAAACAATAGGTCAAGTCAGGCTTTATCAATTTATTTTTGCATAATTTTTACCAGAGGTATATTTTAAAATTATACACTTTTCCCAAGTTTTCATAATGCTGGCCAAAATTGATCGTCTATGGCCTTCAGCCAATCAAACACACGTCCTAGATTTCAATGACGTAAAATTCGGAATAGGATTTGTACATGTGATTTTAACTATTATTTTGATTGATCAGATTTCATCAACCGTCATGGGTTTCGTTCAACGAATGACGTGACGAAACCTTTCATCAGGTATCATTAATGTTCAGTACCCCCCAAAAGGTAACGCCCGATTTGGATGTGCAACATCAACATAAATTTAAATGTGGCGGTTTTCCCCCTTTTTGTTATGTTGACTGCAAATTTTTTTTCATTTCTTTCTTCGACTTTTGAACATACACTGGGCGAAATTTTTGGCTGTAAATATAACACACACCGCTTTCAGTTGACCGACTTTGGCAAGGGTAAAATGGGTAATTTGGATCGGGTCTTGAGTGCCGTACAAGTTGCAAGAAAAATGATCCGTGACTCGATGACGGGATAATGGTCTCTTGTCGAATACAAGAG